CCAACATGTGACATTAATTTCTTGACGACCTAATATTTTAAAATCAAATTAGTATTATAATAGAGAATTTAGGAAACACTCTAGGAAACTTGGGTGACAGTGTATGTGACATCGGTTGCTATTTTCACCATCATTTGTTGTGGTCATGAAAAATAAATACCTTCCTCAGGGCTTGTACAGGTCTCTGATTCCTTGAAAAATTTATGAATTTTGTTTCTGACTTTTAAGGTCTTGAAAACTGAATTTAAGTAAAACTTAATTGGTTATTGAAAAGTGTTTAACTTTTAATATTTTCTTTAAAAAAAGAAGAAGAAAAACAAAAATATCAAAACCATTTGTCTTTAATATGAAAAAACTGAATTTCCAAACAATACCACAATAACTCTTCACACAGTTAAACTATCTTCCCCATGCATCTGCCTTAGAGATTTTCATGCCACTAGCCTTGAGGCAACTCAAACCTAATCTCACATGATCTAATGTGAATTGTGCTATCGCACAATGACATAATCATTTGGCAAGGCCCTTCGCCAATAAAAGGGCGACACACCTCCACGTACACTAACTCCCTCTATGCATTTGCACTTGTGAATCTTCATTCTTCTTCTCGGGAATGTATTGTCCAGACATGTTTAAAATATTTTGGTCTATGTCAAATTCCAAAATACACTTGCCTCCCCTCACACTTTAGCCTGACAAAAGGTTCACTTCTTTACCCGTATAAGCATTGGTATGAATTCTACCTCACGTGCTCCAGTATTTATACCTCACTATATTGACCCTAGTGATTTTAATCTTGTGACTCTCTCCACTTACGTCAATTCCCCCTTGTATACCTCATACATATATAAGTTCCCCATTATTCTTTCTTATTCACTTTTCTCGATGACAAAAATTACGAAGACGGTCTCACGTGTTTATTGTGGGTTTCTCTTCAGTGCTGTCACCACATTTGCAACATTTTCTTTTGAATCATTTTTAGATATTCTTTTGGTATTATTATTATGGTATTATTTTAATCCGTTACTAATATATGTTATCAAAATTTGTTAAAAGTTATTTTAATCAAAGTATTGGGTTATTTTCCGATCACACCAGCTAAACAGTGAAGTTTGTACATATAACAATTAATTAGTAGACCTACATACATTGTGGTTAATGATTTGTGTGTGGTAGAGGCATATTGCTAACTACTCATATTTCAGGTTAATAAATTATATCCAAATATTAAAGAAACATGTAGAAGTTAAGGTATATAAACATGTATGATAATAGTATGCAGGAAGTAACAACAAAGGAAAGTACTAAGATCAACCTATCCTAAACATTTAATAAAAAAAAAATTAAGAGGTAAAAATTTCCTATGTACCTTACTCTAGCTTAAAATTTAATGTAAGATGAAGAACAGGTATTTTTTCCATTAGGTTACATGTAGTTTTGAATGATTTAGCTAAAGAAAAAAGTAAATAATGGAGGTATTTATTGAAATTGAAGACCATCGTTTCTGAAGTTTATAATCATAATAGATCAGTTCGATCGCACAATATCTTATATAGTTTGCTTAAAACTCATAAATGAGACTGTTCATTTATATTTCTTTTAATCCATTATTGTCACTCACCTTCTCAATATATTATCTTGTTTACATGTTGATTTTTTTAATCCTTACATTAATAATAAATGTTTTTGAAAGTTAGTTTTTAAGTTTTCTGGTAGCATTTAAGAATAGAAATTTGATCATATTATCATTTGCTTCAGTTTTGATAATGAATTTCTATGTATTATAATAATGCTCAGTTTTTATCTGTTCTGAAAATCTGGCATACCTTAATATCTAATTGTGCATGTGTACAAAAGGAGGATGTAAATATATTTTAGTAGACATTTTGTACAACATATTAAAAATATATCAAAGTTTTAAAAAAGGTCTAAAGTTAGGTTGTGGAATAACATTATAAGATTATTTATTTTTAGTATTAAGTATGGTAAAGTTTAGCCGTAACTAATCAAAGCAAAAACGTACTCAAGTTACAAGAGTTTACTTATCTCTTTATTGAATATAAGCTTAATTAATGTTAGGCCTAAGACAAGTGGACTTAAAGATTTTGGTGTCTGCAATTAGAATTCTTTTGTATTATTCTAGGAATCCTGTATTTCAAGAAGTACTGTTGCAATAAAGATACTAATTTGACAGCAAATTTTTTGTAGGTCTCTGCTGGTACATCAATATTTTCAATACACGTATTGATGAAGATATTAAATTAGGGGTTTTTATCTGATTTTTAAAGATAATGAAATAGTTTATAGTTTAACTGAAGTACTTATCAAGTTATTTTTGTTTGTTAGTAAGCAATCTTATTTTTAGTTTAATTGAAAAGTATGTAATCAAGTGGATGGCATTTCTATAGGTTCAAAATTGGTACCTAGTTTAATAAATTGCATGTTTTTATGAGAAAAAATTGTAAGAACTTTGTCTAATAATTTTATGCCATTAATTTACTTGTAGTTGTATTGATCTTTATATTTGTTCTGTTCAAAGAGAGAATGTATAAAACTTTTTTACATTATTTGAATTATAAAATTCAGATGCTAAATTTATTACTGAAGAACAAAAAAACCCATAAATTACTTTTTTTCTTGATCTAAAGATCATTTACATGGGTAAATCATTAATTACCTTTTAACTGGTGTATACTTCACCATTTTCACTATTGTTGATTTTGTTCCATTTAATTTCTAAAGAAATTTGATTAGTATTTTGGTTCATAGATTTTTAAAATGTCCAGTAATTTTTTTTCAAGTTATGTTTCTCTAGTAAGTAGTGTAATTAATATATCCCTTATATAAACTTATTCCATTACTGTTAACACTTTCTGAGAGTCTAAATTACCTTTTACTAGATATTACATTTTTAGTTTGAAGAAGAAATTAATGATTCTTTATTACTGATTAAGCTATTTTAAGAACCTACTTATGCCTTTCTTATTGAACTTCTCGTCTTTCTAGTATTTTGAATGTATTAGTACAGTGCAGTTAATTTTTAGGCATAGTTTGTAAATACTTTTTTCAGATATTTGTGCAAGAATGTTATTGAATTTATTATGTAAAAATGTAGATGCATTACAATAAGTATAATTGCTAGAAACAATAAAATCATGTTTAAGTACTTTTTCTGATTTTATTTCAGGTTCTTTGCAGTGGATTAGCCTTTTCAGTTCGTTATGGACTGGCAAGAGTTTTTTATGATGTAGTTTAGTTTTAAATTCTAGAATAAAGGGCATTAAATGGGTGCTATAACCATGAATTAGGCATTATAAGAATGGCTTTTATTAAAAGTACTGTTTGAAATAAGGGGTGCGTAAAGAATAAGATATGATAAATCAAGAGAATTGAAAATTGTTATTTGTTTTTACAACAGTCAGGGACAGTGTGACCTAGATAATTGGTTTGTGTTTATTCTGTTACATCTGAAAGTTGTCCCAAAGATTTCAACCCAGTTGTGCTGTAAAGTCAGTGCTTAATTGGTTCTTGTTTTGAACTTGCTAGTCCATGTCTTAACATTTATTCCATGTGTGAACAAAATAAACATTTTTTAAAAGAAGTTTGACTGGTAGAATGTAATTTATCTGAAAAGTTTGAATGTACTTCATTTGCCTCTTTGGAGCTAGTTTTAAGCTTAAAGTTAATAACACACCAATATTGGTAGATATAGTTTATTAAAACCTTTTGAATGAATTACTCTTCCAATCAAACCTTTTTTTAAAACTATTTTATGATTTTCAGAAGTCATAAATACCACACTAGAACTAAATTAATATAAATTAAAACAAGAAGATGGAGTTGCATGCTGTAATAATATGTTTGTTGTGTGTTTCACTGACTGTTTATTATGTGCTATGTGAAAGCAAAATCCTGAAGCACTTTCATGTAGTCTAGACATGATCCACTAGAAGATATGTAATGATTTTTTTCTCAACTTCTTTATGACAGTTATGAGAGCTGCAAAACAAAACTATTTTAAAGAAGTCATATAAGGAAGGTGTAAAGTATATGCAAATTTTTATTAAAGTTTGTTTGACAAGCAGTGATTATTTTTATTTTCCTAAGACACTTTAAATATTACTTTAAGACATAGTAGTATGTTTCCAAATTTTTTAAAGCTAAATCTAAAACCAAAATGTTCAGAAGCATAACAATTAGGCATTCAAGAACTTTAAAATGTACCGTGTCATGTGTATACATTTATTTGTAAGACAGGAAAAAACTTATTAATAGCAAATAGATAAAAAACATTTTCTCAACCAGTGGTCCAGAGACAACTGTAACAAACAACTGATCAATTAAAGCTTTGCCAGAAACCTTTCCACTTGATGGTTAAACTTCTGCTACTATTCTCTGCTGATTGTTTATTTTACAACTGTTGAAAAATCTTGTTGTTGAGAAAGTTGGTTATTATGTTCAAGCAGAAACTTTCAATGGGTTGTGGGTTGTTTAGGTTAGGTGATCAATAGTTGTGGTTGTGCTTTTAGCTTTGAATTATTTTTATGCATATAATAACTTTACTGTGGTTTATATAAATTCTTTCATTTGACTTATTTTGTAAATATTCTGCAATTTTGTATTTACAGCTATGTATTGCATAAAAATATCTATGACCTTTTTTAATTGCCAAAGTATTCATTGTCTGAAAATATTTTTTCTGTTTCTACTAAAATGTTAGTTTTTACAGACTTTTACTTAAAACCTTTAATTTCAGCAACTTGTGTTATTGAATTTATCTAAAGGCTATTACCCTTACAGTGTATCAGAAAATCTGAATTTCATTAAAACCACAGATTTGAGCATTGGTGTTTTCAGTAAAAATTCATTATTTTATTTATAACTCAAAGGGTTAAGGCATGATAATTTTTTAGAAACTTTTGACTTCTTTAATATTTTGTTAATACTATTTATCCTAGGTTTGTGTTTGCTGCTCTGTAAGAATTCTGCAGTAATAATATAAGCTCTATTTGGAATTGTAATGTTTGTCCATTGAGATAGATGGCCCTAATAAGTAGTTGTTTAATCAAATATCTGAGAGACATTAAAATAGCTATAGCTAGAATGTTATAAGTTATTTGAGCACTACTTTTAAAATAAGTGACTTTGTCTGTGGCATATTTGAAAATGAAAATACACAATTTAAAATTTTTGTTTTTTATGAAATTATTTCTTTTGGATTTTAAATGTAAGGCTAACTAGAGTATTCATGCCTGTGGTCTAGATTTTATATTTGAGGGTGGTGCAATTTTTGTATGCATGTCACTTTATTATTTACTTTGCTGTACCTTTTTTTTATGCTAACATTATTATAGTTAAAAAGTTTAATATTCACAGTAGTTTTTAATGCATTCCTCTGTGTTGTGATTAAGAAACAAATTTGTTCAGCAAATACAGTTAATGTTGTGTATTGATAAAGATCAATGAAACCCATAAAAGTTATGAACAGCTAGAAAAGTACACTTATGTAATAGCTTTGTATAAAAGATTAAAATATTTCAAAAAGTACATACCCACAAAAAAACACTTTCACTATTCTCAAAAAGATTTCTTATGTTTTTATATTAAATATTGTATAAATATGCAGTAGGGTAAGGGCAAATTTATATATTAAAACATTCCATTTTTCTATTTATTCTGCCTAAGAAATATAACCATTATAGTTAAAATGTTGGAAAAAGCATCAAAATAGGCAAGTTATTGATTTTCTCACATTATCTTTTACTTTAAACCAATAATTACCAAAATAAGATTAAACTGCTTCAGAACCAGTTTTATTAGTTTTCTATTTTTAATAAGAGCCAAACTAATTTAAAAAAGTTGGATGCAATGACATTTTTCTTTATTAAAAGGTTTTAAAATTCCCAAATCATAACATCAAAATTTATATTAAGGTTATGCATTCAAGGAAATGTGGAATGAAAAGTTATTTTTAGGGAATACATTGTATATTATAAACATTTTACACATGCCATCTTAAAGAATTTATAAGTGGATCTCAATAAAAAAATTTTGTCAATAATAAGATTTATTACTTAAACTAAAACTTGCTTGTAAAATAAAATGGTTAAAGCAGTTGATCAGGATAAGTAATAAATAAAAAGACTAATAAATGGAACATTGGAAAGTGATAGATTGATTAGCCACAAATTTAATTAATTTAAAATTTTAAGAGAAGAGCAACATATAGCCACAAATGATTAAGTGCAAAGGATTTTTTAAAAGTTGTTCAAGAGTCTGATGTAAATATAAAATAGTGCAAAATTGTCATGCATAATTGTCTTTAGATTTTGTACCAGTCAGCAGTGACAAAATTTGAGAGTTTTATGCATGTATGCTAATTCTTTAATAGTTTTCTGCAATGATTAAATTTAATTTCTGTATCAAATCAATGGCTATTTTGTTTGTAAAGCTCATAAAATGACAATTGTTTAGGTGTTCGAATTGATTTGCAAACTAGTGTATATGTAAATATTAACATCACATGCTAAGCAGCTACCCTTTTTCTACTTAGAAGATGAAAAGTTCATTACTTGAAGATAGCTTTTATATGCGGAAACATCTGTTAGCTGAGTTCTTGCACAGATCTTAAAATATAATGTTGATAAACGGAAACAGTGGCACACGTAGATATGTAGATAATGATCTATAGGAAAATTCCTGTCGATTTCAGGAAGTTAGTTTTTCTTTTTCTTATGGTCTTGTGTTTATATTTTTGCAATGAAATTGCATGAATATTATAGAATTATAATCAAAAGTCTAGTGACATTTTCAGAGTTGGTAGGGAATAATTAGAGCTTCTGATTTTTTATTGTAACCAATAAACACTGATAAAACATCCCTAATACATAAAAAATGAAATGGGTCTTTTTTCCAATAAAAACTGGAAATGGTTATTCATTAACATCCACTTTTCTGAGTCACTGTGCTCATGAGATTTAATTCTTTCCATAGGGGTTCATGTATAATTATTATTTTTCATAATTTTACAAAGCTTTGACATAAATAGAACTATACCTAAGAGAAATTAGTGTGCAGAGAATATATGATATATTAGTATATTCATTACAGTAGTGTTTTTCAAACTGTGGGGCATACTCCCTAGGGGGTGCTTACCGGTGGCTGGGGGTGAGAGAGCCCAAAAATAACAATAGAAGAAACAGAAGAGATGGATACGATGATAATATAAAAAAAACTATCACTTTGCTCTCACATTTACTCCTTACAAGCATGTCTTCATTTAAAAAAATGATTAAAAACAGGTAAAGAAAATGTTGATTTTGTTGTTATCACTTGTGAGAAGTCTTAATGTGAAGTGGGTGCAATGGAAACTTTGCTATTTAAAGTTTGGAAACACTGCATTACAGTATTAAAAGTAAAAAATGAAAAACGATTTTAAGATACCTACATAAAACTAAAAATGAAAACCCAAAAAACACTGATTTTAAGATATCTAAATAAAACTACAAAAGAGCTACAAATAAAAACTGAGAAACAAAATAGAAGTCCTAGGAATAATTAACATAAATGAAAAGATTATGTTTGTTCAGGATGTACATCTATATGTTGAAAGTGAAATGATGAGAATGTTTATATTAAGTATAAGAACATGCATATACCATCAGAATATTGTATATTTATTGTGGAATGTATGTTACTGAGTAAGATAAATTGTCAGTACATTCATGTATTTGTATTAAAATGCTATTAAGGAGTGAAAAGATTTGAATTAATTTTTTTACTATTTGTGTCACTTTAATTTAATTATGCATATTATTTTGATTTACACACTAAAAGAGTTTAGCACAAGTTCTATCTTCAGTCCTGTTGTGGCACAGTGGTAATCAACCAGCAGCAATCATTTTTACTTTAGTAGTATTTATTATTGTTTTCTTTTTTTTATATATTGTTGTTATTCAACTCGAAGTACCTAGTGTACTTCGGATGATTTTAATAATATTACTTTTTCTACTATTATACATTTGAGGAGTTTGGCACAGGCTCTCTTTCCATCAATAATCTCCTCAAGGTACTTTTAGTTATAATGACCAATTCAATTTGATTTAAGTAGCATCTGTCCTTCATATTGTTTAAAAGACAAGGTAAATTTATCAAGTCAAAAGTCCTGCCTTTTCTAATTCACACACTATGTTATACAATAAATATATGTTATACATTAGATGCTATGGTAGTATGATAAATAATTTGATCTGTGTTATTTATTAAATATTAAAAAATTTCTTAATTGTTTAGTATTAATTTATACTTCAATAATTCATTAGAGGTTTATTACATTTGGGAAAATAAGATCAACACATTCCATTTCTCAAACTACTTGAATGTTTTAGTATACAATTTATCATTAAAACTCACCGAGATTTATAATATTATTTCATTCTCTTTTGTGTGTTTGTGTGAATTACCATCTACTTTTTGACCTGTGAGATCGCAATGATTCCTAAGTTCTATTTAGATTCAGCAACTAACATTACTTATGAGAGGAAACTTACAAACATCTTGTAATATCTGGACAGATATTATTCTATATGACATTAAACCACAGAGATTACTTCTTATACTGTTTCAATTTCCTTTACTGTCCATGTTCATTTTATTTTATGTAAATCGTTTATAGAACCTGTATTATATGGATACTTGTAGCTATTTGTTGGATATCAGTGTACCTGAATACCATGGACTAAGTTCTCAAGCTGCATTTTAGTGACATGCCCAAAATATTTTTTATTATGGAGTTATTTTCAATGTGCTTCTTTTTTCATTTGACTTTCTGGTGTTGGGAAATTCATCATCATGGAATTACACTTTCTGAGTCCATGTAGAACTTGTTGTGGAAGGAGATGAAATGTGATATGAGAATTTGGTAAGGACTAGAAGAGCACCCTTTTTGGATTAGAAGATTTCAGTAACTATGATAATGGTTAAAATCACATTATATATCCATCCTTGGAATTAGAAGGTTGATGGGTGACTAGGGAAGACCAAGATACCACAACACAACCTCATCTGGTTACCTTTACATTTAAATATGGGTCATGGTGGTGGTGAGCAGTTCGAACATTTCTGTGGGACTCCAAGATAATTGCTAACTAGTTTAGGTATTTCCAGGCACTGGATTAACTCATGGCCAAAGAGATTAGTGAGATGCAAGTGATGGACAATGTCTGCTGCAAAGTGCCATGATGCCATCGGATGGAGAAGCCAGTGTCTTGTGACGCAGCAGATTCATAGGGCAGTCAAGACTCTTCCGACCCAGAAAGGCACATTGACAATGTTCAAACTCATCAGGAACATTTTGTCTGTGACATAAGCAATTTATATGGCAACATGGTTTGATGGGGTTACATCAGACCTTATGTTGAAGCAGAGGAAGAAATCAGCAACAGTGATAACTGTAGCTTGGGACTCTACTCCAAAGTAACCTTCATTGTCTATGAGGGTCCTAATGTTTGACAAAAATATTGATCAGTAGCTCCATCATTGGTAATACTTCAAAACATCATGGTAAAGTTGTCATGTTTCCAGATGGGACAACAGGACACTCCAGGACCAGTTGCCATAGATGCATCCCCAATGCAACAGGAGGTTAGTGCTTGAAGAAAATAACCAAGAAATGGGGGGGGGGGTTCCTGCTTCAACTGTGGAAAGCCAAGACTATTGGAAGCAATTACTGTCCTTACTGAATACTACTGCAAATGCAGGGGGGTTAATGACAAGTTGCAGCTCCTCCAGTTGGACCTGACTACCAGCTTGGGAGGTTGCAGTAGTTACCTTGCATACAATATCATGGTGATTTGTTTAGAGAATTATGGAATTATTGCATATATATATATATGGAAATGAGCTTAACTTCCTAGTGGATGTTGAAGTTGTCAGGACCTTACTCAAGTTTGCTGTGTGTGTGTGTGTCAAGTATTCTGAGGAAAGTTTCCAGTTTGGATTACGATAAACTTTGTTCTGGCTACTGGTGACAAGCTATGTGTGAATGTAGAGATGCATTTCCACTTCGTTTGAGCAGTTTTATTTGCTACGTGACATCAATTTTTGTTCAGGTATGGATCTACTGCAGAAATTGTCAGCCAGTTTCACTTTTGTGACAGGTGAGCTTCGGATTTGTCATAAAACCATCCAGTATTAACCAGATTGGGCCTTACAACAGTGGGTTTCACATGGACACATCAAGAAGGAGGTAGTAATATTCCTGAATGTGTACATGAGGTATACTGTGGATGGAGTCTAGCATTTACTGTCTGCTGTAGTGATAAAACTGATGCACAGAACCAACTGTTTTCTGTCTGGAAAGTAAGCTGTAGTTGTAGGAACAGTACTGAAAGAGTATCATTGCCAGCATGGTAATGGAGGCAGAAGTGACACAAACAAACCAAGTAACTATTGTTGATTCACTGTACCTTATCTAAGAATGAGTGCAGAGCTTCCAAAGTAAATTAAACCTCTAGTTGAAGATTGTATGCAATATGGACTTGACA